AAAACAACCCAAATCTCCATCAGCTGAAGAATGCATTAAAAAATGTAGTATAGCAGGAGGTATCACAATCCCCAACTTGAAACTATACTACAAAGCTACTGTGATAAAAACGGGATGGTACTGGCAAAGAAACAGACGTAAGGATCAAAGGAATAGATTAGAAGATGCAGAAACAACTCCAGACATACTCAGCCACCTCATCTTTGACAAAGGAGCCAACTGGAGAAAGATAGCCTCTTTAATAAATGGCGCTAGAAAAACTGGGTTTCAACTTTCCAAACATTAAAAGTAGACCCATATCTTTCACCATATACTAAACTAAAATCGATAATGGATCAAAGATCTAAATATTAAAATAGAAACACTAAACCTGCTGGAAGATAGGTTAGGTAGAACTCTTGAAGACACTGGCGTAGGAAAAGATTTCATAAACAAAACCTCCGTTGTATGGAAACTGGCAAAAAGAATCAACCACTGGGATCTTATCTTATTAAAAAGCTTCTGGGGTTGGGGATTTAGCTCAGTGGTTCTGCTGCCTGCCTTGAAAGCACAAGGTCCTGAGTTCAATTCCCGGTACAAAAAAAAAAAAAAAAAAAGCTTCTGCACAGCAAGAGAAATCACCAACAGAGTAAAGAGACAATTAAAATGTGGGAAAAAAATTTTTACCAGCTGTTCCTCAGACAAAGGACTACTATCTAGAATATATAAAGAACTTAAAAAAAAATCAGATCCCCCAAATTTAAAGACCCAATCCAAAAACAGGCATCTGAAATGAATAGACATTTCTCAAAGAAGTAGAAGCAGCAAATAAATATATGAAAAAATGTTCAATATCACTGGTCATTCGAGAGATGCGGATGAAAAGAAAGTTGAGATTCCATCTTACTCCAGAAAGAATGGCTGCTATCAAGAAATCAACCAATAACAAATGTTGGTGGGTCTGTGGGGAAAAAGGAACCCTTCTCCACTGTTGGTGGGAGTGTAGACTGGTGCAACCGTTGTGGAAATCAGTGTGGAGATTCCTCAAAAAACTAGGATTAGAGGTCCATTTGACCCACCTATCCACTTCTGGGTATATTCCCCAAAGAATTAAAAGCATCATACCACAGCAATACATGCACACCTGTATTTATAGCAGCATAGTTTGTAATAGCTAAATCTTGGAAACAGCCCAAATGCCCATCAACTGGTATTGGATAAAGAAGATGTGGTTCTTTTATAAAATGGAGTACTACTCAGCCATAAAGAAAAACTAGACATTTACAGCAAAATGAATGCACTTGATGCCACACTCTAAAGTGAAATAAATAGGACACACATATGTAAATATCATATTGTTTCTCTGGTGTGAGAAACTAAAAGTATAAATGATGACCAAAATGTGTAATAGATATTGTGAAGTAGGAAGAAAATGTTCAAAGGGGCAAAGGAACTAGGGAGGGGGGCACGGGAAAGGAAAGATGGGAAAGAAACAAATGAAAAAAGAAGGAAAAAATGGAAACAAAGCTTATGTAGGGAGAGATGGGGAGGTTAAAGGGAGGAAAGAGGAATGGGAAAAAATGAGAACCAAGCTATATCATGCACAGATACAAATCCCCATAGATGAATGTGATTGTAATGTATACCTAAAATGTACCAATTAACTTAATTTAAAAAATGTATCCATGCAGTGGACTATTATTTGGTAATAAAATGCAAAGAAGTACTGATGTGTGCTACAACAGGAACAGATACTGAAAAGGTTATGCCATGTGAATGAAGTCAGTCACAAAAGTCCACATACTGTATGATTCCATTTGTATGAAATTTCCAAAGTAGGCAAACTCATATAAACAAAGTTCCTAAGTGGTTGCCTGAAGCCAAGGGAGAGGGAAACTTGGGATAGCACTGCTAATAAAAAGGACTTCTTTTGAGATGATGAAAATATTCTGAAATTAGTGGTGATGGTTGCAGAACTTTGAATATTCTAAAAACCACTGCAATGGATACTTTCAAATAGCAAACTTCATTAATTGGGGATTATGGGATTATATCCTAAATTATTTGCAGTACTGGGTATTGAACCCAGGCCTTGTGCACGTGAGGCAAATGTTCCACCACTGGGCTACTTCCCAACTCTATTAAAAGTTGTTTGGTGAGACAGGGTCTCATTAAATTTCCCAAACTTGCAATTCTCCTGCCTGAGCTTCCTGAGTAGCTGGAATTACAGGTGTACACCAATGTACCAGGCTTAAAAATATTAATTAAAAAAAGAAAATAAAAATATTTTGGGGTTAGGTGAAGTATACAGTAATTGAAAGTTAGAGTGGAGAGCAGCAGCAGTAATGATTACGTGAAAATGGTATGTAAGCCTTATGCTTCTTGTATGTGACTTTAGAAAGCAATGAAAAAGAAAAAAATTTCTTCTTTCTTAAACTGCCATCATCTCCCTCGTTAAAGTTTAAGCTCTGTTACCAGAGGTAGAAAGCATTTGGGCAGGGAGTGAGGTCAAACTGGTCATCATTTATTCCATCCTGAATAATCAAGTGTTGCAAATCCAAATTAATAATAACAGCAAAAATAATTTGAGTTGTACTGACTTCTTAAGGTATATCTTTCTGAGAAACTGAAACAGCTAAAGTTATATGAAACTTTTATAAATTAACATTTGAAGATAAAGAAATCCAATACTACTAAAAACATGACCATATTTTAAATCAGTTGTGGATCTTTTATATATTGTTCACTTTTCTCTTTGATTTAATATGGAATGCAAAAATAAATGCTAGTAAAACACTATGTAACTGCACTTTCTTCTGCTTTACATTCATTAGAACTGAAATATATATGGTACTTTTTAACCAATACTAATACTATATTATTTCTAAGGATTCTTAACATTTTCTTGCATTATTTATACATCTGAATGACTTTCCAATATCTCTTACTAATCTGTTCTTGAAAATGTTTTTAGCTCAAGAAATGAACAAATATAGTTGATTCCTTTTAAAATGAAGTCAAGGCTGACTAGTATGTAAGAGGCTGTGTAAAACAACTGAAAAGAAACTAGACTACAAAAACTGGGGTTAGGCCAAATATGGTGGCTCCTGCCTGTAATTACAGCACCCTGGGAAGCTGGGGCAGGAGGATAACAAGCCACAAGTTTGAGTCCCACCTGGGCAAGTTATCGATACCCTGTCCCAAAACACACATACTCTTACTCCTGTACCACAGAGACAAATAATGAGAATAAATGGATTAAGTATGATAAGCAGTGAGGATCTGTGGCAAACATGATCCCATGCTAATCTGAAGAGAGCAGTCAACTAGCTGCCATGTGATGTTAGCCTAGTGTTGCCAGATCTCATTTTTCTCAAGACACCAAATCTGTTTTTTTGTGTGAGTGTTCAGTATTAAATTTGACACAATTTTAAAAAATGAAATCTCTTGTTCTGGTTACTTCTAGATTTTCTCAAAGGCTAAATTTTAATGTATTTGTTTAGCACTGAAAACATTTCCAAGTTTAAAGCAGTATTACAGACTTAAAAATTCTGCAAACACCTTTGGGATCTGATGCCAGTCATTCTAGCTAAGGTTCATAAGGAAATAAGGCTAGACTCCTGTGCCCTCAGACTTTTCCAATTAAATCAAGGGCAGATTTTGGAAAATTCCCCAACCTGTGGGAAGTGTCCAGGGAGAAACTTCAAGCTTCAAAAAAAAAATTGTTTTAAATCAACACTTGATACAAATTTTGGCTTCTAATCTACAATATATTCATGCTTGCTTTAATGCAGAAACTGTTCTACTATTTCTTTCCATAATATTCACCAGGTTTACTCTGTGGTTTTACAGAATCTGTATGCAGCACAAGGCTCCCTAACTCCAGGTTACAGGTGACCTGTCGTCAAAGCAAGGATAATTTTATTCCCTAAGGCTTTCCTTTTTTCTTTTTAGAAGCCAAAGTCCTTTCTTGGAACATGGTTTTGAGGAATGATGCATAAATATATTCTCAAAGACTTTAATGTTAACACTACAGTACTCTGTAAGACAGCCTGATGACTGAGGGATATTCACTGAAAACAGACATTTTCATCAGTCGGTTTTACGACTGTCCCAAATGTTTTTAGATGAATTACATTTTAAAACATTTCACTTTACACGATATCGCAGCCTTACAACAGTCTACCATCCTCATAGAGTTTAGATAGCTCTTTCTCCTCTTCCTCCTTAAGTCTTTTAGGATAAACTCATCATTCATCTTCCCGCAAAGCTCCTACCAAAAAACCCAGATCAGAGACTACGCCTCGATGCGCAGAAGCCGCGGGAGGAGGAGAAAGAGGAGGAGTAAAGCAGGCCCTCTGGATGCTGGCCTGCGGGGAGCTATGCAATAGAGGCAGGCGCGGTCCGGGTTCAAACAGGGCCCACCACTCCGGAGCGTCCCCGCGGGGCCCAGAGACAATGGCCCACGGCGACGCTGGCTCTCCAGCAATCGCCTGCAGAGTGCGGAAGCAGCGCGAGGGAGGTCCCTGGCTGGCCGGCCTGCCTCTGCAGCTGGGACGCCGGGTGAGAGGTGGAGGGCTGGTCAGACCCTGCGCGTTCCCAGGGTCGCTCGGCCCGCACACAGGGCCCCAGGCAGCCTCCCTGTTTCCTCACCTTTGCCAGCGGCCAACCCTTCCGCTCCGCAACGCCGCCGGGAGAATCCCTGCGCAGGACTGGGAAACGACGGGCTGAGAGAACTCCAGCTCCACAGTGGCTGGGCCTTCCAGGTTCGGTTCCCGGAAACGAGCCCCTCCCCTCTTCCCTTGCTCCGCCCCCGCCCCTGAGTGGCGAGGGCCCCGGATGTTACCTCCTTCGGTGTCCTGAAGCCCCGCCCTTTCTGCTCAGGCTCCGGCCCCTTCCGAATCCGCTACGGATCCCGCAAGGCCCTAGAAGACTTTCGACGTCTCCTGGGTGGCTAGAGCGTCTTCCTGCGTTCCGGCCCGCTGCAGGTGACGGCGCCCGGAGGCTGTCGGGAAGTAGGCGGGGTGACGTGGGGTTGGCTAGCTCCGCGGCGGGTTTGCAGAGAACTGTGGCCGGTGGCAGCTGGTTACGGGGGGCGGCCGAGTGCGAGAGTGGAGCGGGGCGGTGTGTGTCCGGGGCCATGACGGGCAATGCCGGGGAGTGGTGCCTCATGGAAAGCGACCCCGGGGTCTTCACCGAGCTCATTAAAGGATTCGGTGAGAACCAAGGGGACCGTCCTGGGCCGGGGGTCACGGGAGGAGGCCCAAACCGGGCATGGAGTAGCCACTTGCGGCCACCGCCGCCCCGTGCCTGAAGAGAAGTAACTTCAGGAACCTGGAGTCGAGGTGGGGGGCACGCAGGGCGTCTGCCTCTCCTCTGCCCGGAGCAGTCGCGTTTCTGCAGTAGTTTTGAGAGCCACACCACGAGGGCAAGGATCGTGGCTGTCTTGTGAACTGCTATATTCTCAGGACTCGGGACTCAAAATACTTTAATTGACTCGAGGGCCTTCCCTCTCCTCCCCAGCACCTTATGCTCGTCTTCCTTTCCACTGTCCCTTCTCTGCGGAGCCTCCCCATCCTGGGCCAGGGTGCTTAGGTGCCTAGCTCAGGCCACCAGTCCTGCAGGCGAAGGGAGTGTCTTCTCGAGGGCGGTGCCTGAAGCCCGGCCGCCCAGGACTCGGGATTCTAGTTTCTCCAAGCTGAACGCCGTGAGCGTGGGAATGGCTCTTCAGGCGTCCACACACGCTGACTGCGTGGGCCTGACAGACTGCTCCACTGGTTCTTTTGCTCCCTGAGCAGTTGTGGTTTCCGGTGAAGTGAGTGTTCTTGAGGTAGAGCTCTAGACTAGGGACCACATGCTTTTCTTATAACACCTGCCTGCCTTTATTCATTTCCTTCTGTACTAATCAACACATACTTTTTATCTTTTTCACTTATCAGTGGCTTTATTTTTATGTTACATTTCACCAAGTATTATTTCTGGCCATTACGTCAAAATTTGTACTCCAGATTGTAATTAAACCTTAGTATGGATATTGTCCACTACACATAGCTGAATATGTGCGGTATTTATCTTGTACATTTACAGTATCTCAAACACACTGGTAAGCATTGCGAAGTTTTAATGTGAATAGTTTATGGCTGCTGTTCTGAAGAATTGGCAACTATAATATGACACGTTTATTGCTGTGTTGAGTATGTACCAAATGTTTTAAAAACACAGGTCAAGGAGGAATACAGGCAGAAGGAAAAGAATAAACTAGTTTTTTATATCTGTCTATCTAGTACAGTGAGTACAGCTAGTAAAGTGACTACAACATAATGTAATGGACAAGAAGAGTATTTAGATCTGAAGCTGAAAAGTTAAACTGAGGCTATCTGACTGGATTATCTGGTATCCACTGGGGATTTACTGTCAGAGATAAGGAAATTGAAATAAATTGAAATGGAATTATTATTCTTTTTGGGGGGCTGGTGGTACTGGGGATTGTACCCAGGGCCTTTGCAGTGATCTACATCCATGCCCCTTTTTATTTTGAGCCAGGATCTTGCTAACTTGCCTAGGCTGGGCTGGAAATTGTGAATCTCTTGCCTCAGTCTCCCAGAGTGCTGGCATTACAGGCATATGCCACCACAGCCAGTGTGAAACTATTTTTATAATTAAAGTTTACTGTGCCTGTAGTGTGCAATGAAATGAGAGAACCTAGCAGTCTCTTTAAAATGGCTAGAGTTTGAGATAGTGAGTTGGAAGGTAGATTCGGTAATTTTACTGTATTTAAATCACTAGTGGCATGTGGAAATGCCTTCTCTTCATTCCTTTTGGAGCAGGCCTACATCTGTAACATGCTACATTAAAAAAAGGAGTTCTCAGGGCCACCAACTTTATAGTAGAGGTTGAGTGGTAGTATATTTCTCCTACATTAAAGGAAAAAAATTGATAGGACTGCCCACTAACTCGGTGTGGGGAAAGAGTCAACAACTTTCTGGTTTCTAGCTTGGGTAGCTGCTGAAGTACAGTTACAGTAAAAGAGTAGGCTTGATGGACAAGAAAAGGGTCAATTTTGGATCTACACTGAACTTGAGGTGTCTGTAGGTTTATTCATAACTTTTATCTTCAGAAACTTGTTGTGACATGTTAAAATCGACATTCAGAAATAATTATTACGTAAGCTCATTTAAAATTAGTTCAGTCCATTAACAGTTGTTTCAACTTCATTTGTGTAGAAATCTTGGAATTTGAAAATGATCTAAATAAAGTCATGCATGAGAGAAGTATATAAGTACCTTCTGAACTTGCACATATGAAAAATAGAACAGTAGTTGCTAATGGATTGGGTGTTAGCAGAATTTTGCAAGAATTCAAATGATAGTTTTATGTCATCAGATGCTTCAGAGAAAAAATTAGTTTATTCCAGTCATTTCCATGTATTTTTTTTCATCCTGATTCCTGAATTTAAAAATGCTTTTGAGCTGGGCATGTGGTACATGCCTGTAATCCCAGCACTCTGGAAGGTTGAAGCAGGAAGATGGCAAATTTGAGCCAGCCTGGGCAATTTAGTGGCTTAGACCCTGTCTCAAAATTAAAAAATTAGAAAAAGAGCTGGGGATGTAGCTCATTGTGAAGGTCCTGAGTTCAATCCACAGTACCCTCCCCCAGAAATATTCTTTCAAAAGTGAAACATCTGATTGTATTGTGAGTGCCATTGTAAATTCATTTAAAAGTTTTTATCATTGGAGGGGAAATTATTTGTGAATGCAGTGAATACGTAAATACAGGTTTTAGTGAAATATATAGTGAAACAATTTTTTTTAAAGCTAAGAAACTGATGGAGCAGAACTGTACAGTATATTAATTGATATGGTTCATACATACTTCATAGATGTACCAAAATGAAACTGTGATAGTTTACTAATAAATATAGAAACAGTATGTTTCTACTTTTAGTCAAGAGAGACTTAATGGGCTAGATTTACTCTTTCTACAAGACCAGTGATCCAGCTTTCATTTTAAGGGACTAATGAAGAGCACATTGACTTAGAGTAGTGATGTTAACAAGCAGCCACCTGCAGCATGCGCATGCCATAGGTTCACCACCATTGACCTACAGTAAAAACAGTTGAAAGGAAATAGTGAAAATCAGAGTTGAAATTAGAGACAAAAGAGAGAAAACAGTGGAGAAAATTAATGAAACTGAAGATCTAGAAGATCAGTAAAATTTGATAAACCTCTAGCCATAGTGAACTAAAAAAAAGATAGACATGAATTACCAATATAGGAATGAGAAAAGTGACATCATTACTACTACAGATGTCAAAAGGATAATAAGGAAATACCATAAAAAATTTTATGCCAGTAAGTTTGACAACTTAGGTGAAAATGTACAGATTCCTTTAAAGATGTAAATCAATGAGGAGTACAGCCTTATATTTATTATGGGAATTCAAATTGTAGCTTAAAATCTTACAAAGAAATTCTAGCCAACAGTGGTAAATTCTGTCAAATATTTAAGAAACAATACCAATTCTATATAATGTTTAAAAAAAAATTGTAGAGGAAGGACACTACTTTCCAACTCATTCTATGAGGGCGAGCATTACCTTGACACCAAAACCAAAGACTACAAGAAAAATACAGATATATCCATAATCAAGATAAATGTAAAAGTTCCAAACAAAATTTTACAAATTGAATCCATTAATACAATTAAAAGAACAACATATGATGACTAAGTGGTTTATAACAATATTAAGGGTTGGTTTAACATTCAAGTATCAACAGAAGTCACTACATTAAACTAAGAAAAAAAAAAACATACAATTATGTAAGTGCAAAAAGCATCTGACAAAATCCAACATTTGTTAAGAATTATAAAGTGTTAGATCTTCCCCAGCCTGCCAGCTCACAAGTTGACTTGCTAGTTTCATACATGCTGTCAGACAACTTCTGGTGTACAGATAAAGGACTGTATTGCTCGTAACCCAGTAGACTGCAGGAGGTGCGTGTTTGTATGGGTTCTCTTGTTTTTGAAGTCTGTGGGAATGGAGGTAGACCAAGGTGGATACTGTACACACAGTCTGTGTTACAGTTGAAGAACTTGGAGCTTAAGAACATCTCAGTCTTATATAGGGTCTGCTAGCAAACATGCTCAACCTTTGTCTCTGGGCATTATTATTTTCATTTGGAACTGTAAGTCTTTCACCTGCTGCACTTAACTCAGTCTTCCAAATCTGTTTACTGTATGAACATCTTGAGAAGCTAGTTGAGAGCAGTGGAGCAGAGTGGTGCACACCTGTAATCCTAGCAGTCTGGGAGGCTGAGGCAGGAGGGTTGCAAGTTTGAGCTCAGCATGGGCAACTTAATGAGTTAGCAAGACCATGTTTCAGAAGATTAAAAAAGAAATAAAATAAGGGGGTGGGGATGAAGCCCAGTCTGAAGACCCTTGTCCCTAGGTCATTCCCCAGTGCTTGGTTGGGGGAGGGCTAAGTCTAAGCAGTGTCAGTGATCCTTCTCAGAAGACAATAGAAACAGAAGGAGCCCATTGAGAATTGTCTCTGAGCAATATCTGCCTTTCCTTTCCACACCAAATACTCCATTCCCTCAGATGCCCTATAAGGTTGATACCAAATCCGTTTGTCTCTTGCATTATGTACATTAGAAAGCCAGGTAGCTTTGTCCTTAAGGTTTGTATTGACCTTTTCTTTTGGCCTGAGGCATTAACTCAGGTATGGCAGGGTATATTAATTTGCAGACTACACTTCAGCATGATGGGAAGTCTGGAGTCATCTCATTATCTGTAACAGCTGACATATGTAGGGCAGATCTGAATGACTTTTGAGTCTGGTGTTGGCTTAACATGAAGCCCCATTATGAGCACTTCTAAGGTGTATTTGTCTTTGCTTTGAGGAGAGGCAAATTAGTACCTGGCTTTCACGTAAGAAGTAGAAGTATAGTCTTGGGAGTTAACTAGTGGTGGGCTCCTAAAATGGGGCTGAATTGAGGGGTACAAGTTAACAGTGTCTCCAATTTAGGACTCCCAGGTCAGTTCAAGTATTTGCATAGTCCTTGTTTTTAGAGAGATTGCTTGAGGCATGTTAATCCAGCTTTTCCTATTTGGTCACATCAGCCAAGTGGCATTTGTACTATGGGATAACAGAGGGCAGATGTATTTTGTGGGAGGTCCAGAAGCTGGGGCCATTCCAACTGCTTTCGGTAGACTTGTTGGTAAGGTTAGGGGAATGAGGTTCATATTGTCAAAACCATTTATTGGATCCCATCACAGGCGTGCATGCCTGTAATCCTGACTGATAAGGTGGCTGAGGCAACAGAACTGCAGGTTGAAGGCAAGTCTGGGCAATTTGGTGAAACCCTGTCTAAATGAATAAATACCTGTTTGTTGGAAGACAACGTACCGAGGATTTGAGTAAGGCACTGGCAACAATCTGGGAGAGCCCCACCAGAGTATTTTTCTTGGGGGGAGGAAGGCTCCAGTTGTACTTTTAAGAGGGTTATTTTTGAAATTATTTTTAGGAAAGCATTATTTTAGAGACTACCAATATCACAAATGTGTTAGTCATTACGTAAATATTTCAAAACTTCTGTCATCTTAATTTTATTATCCCCTTTTATTTTGGAACAGTGTTCTGGTTTGGGTCACAAGTCATGATCATTCTGTTTTAGACATAGTACAGTTATCCATGAAAATTTTTTTCAGCAGCATGGACATAATAATCTCTCCTACTTCTGAACTTGTAGAACATGAGTTGTGTGGACCCTTTATATGTAACTTATGCATGCTCTACTGTCCTTGTGTTGTATGTGCTGTGACACTATTTTATTAATATCTGTCCTTGCTGGGGCCTAGTACTGACCTTGGCATATAAAAGTTATTTTGTAAATATGTATATTTCATTAACTTGTTAAAGTCTTCCTCTCCTTCCTAGCTTTTTATTTTATATATGTTATTAGAGGACTTTGCATTAAGTTCTTTATGTATAGTGTTTGATTACATTATTGCTCACAAAAATGTCATGCATAATGTCATGGTGAAGCAGGTGATATCTTTGTTTTGTGTATATACTAGAAAAGTGAGGCTCAAAGAAATTGTATTCTTACTTAAGGTTAAGAACTTTAAGGCAGTTGCTAGGCTTAGGATCCAAGTCTTTGCAATCATTGCTAATTTCTCTTTCCATTATGTCTTGGTGTATTGTATATTGAATGTGTATAAAGAGATAGATGCTAATAGTTGAGTACTGTGCTTTACTTACATAAATAAATGTATTTAAAATACAATTTTTAAACTATTATCATTTGAAATTCTACCTGTGTGGAAGATTTTAGGGCACTTTTTTTTTTTTTGGTACTGGGGATTGAACTCAGGGCCTTGTGCTTGCAAGGCAGGCGCGGTGCCACTGAGCTAAATCCTCAGCCCCCTTCAGGGCACTTTTATTCAGTAGGATTTTTTCTTTTTTTAATGTGGCGTGATATGTAGAATGTTTGGCAGCTTTTAAAGGAATTGATCTCTAGTAGCAGTGACCAGTGTTAACAATTGCATTAGTGTCAGTGTTCCTCTTGTCACTCATTAAAATATAGGTTCAATTTATGAGATTTTTTTCCCAATTTAATATATGTGGATATTTATAAATCTTGATCTGTTGCTAGTCATTCAGGTTTCTTTGAGTTCTCTGCTTAGGATTTATGCATATATCTTTAATACCAGAGTGAGTACTTAATTGATACTCGCTGAACAGATCAAACAGGCATAGAGTGATATAAATGCCTAAAGTCACACTATAGGTTGACCTGTCAATTTTTCTTTTTCTTTCTTTTTTTTTTTTTTTTCCCTGGGTTAGAGATCAAACCCAGGGGCTCATGAATGCTGTACCACTCAGCTACATCCTCAGCTCCATTTTTAAAAAAACATCTATTTTTACAGGTGGCCTAAAGGCTTCTCTAGCTCTCATTTGAATGTAGTCAGAAATACTAGAAAGTACCTAGACTTTGGAACTAGACATGGATTTTAATTAGTTTCTTGAAATTCACAAGCTATAGTGAATTTAGGCAAGCCACTTAATATCCCAGAGCCTCTTTCATTCAGTTCTTGACTTGTAAGGAATAGAGAAAATGCATTTAAAGCACTTTACACATAGAAGACATTGGTAAATTCAGTTGTTTTTGGTATTATGATAATAATGCTACCTAAAATTTAGTGGAGTCTTAGAGTGTGCTAGGCACTGTAGTAGCTGTTATTTCTTGCATTCTCTCATTTATTCCTCAGAACTACTCTGAGTATGGGGGATGGAGAGATTAAATGGTTATATAGCTAGTAAGTGGAGAAGCCATGATTCCAACTCCAGGAATTGGAAACTACATGATTACTTATAATAATACAAGTTTTCTCAACGTTGCATGGTACTGTTGACATTTTGGGCCAAATGATTTTTTAAGTTTTTATAATATGAGACTGTGCCTTGCTGTGTTGATCAGGCTGGCACCATGCTGGGCTCATGCCATTCTCCTGCCTCAGTCTCCCCTGTGAGTTGGTGTCTTATGTTGTTCAGGCTGGCCTCATATTTCTGGGTTCAAGCCATCTTGCTGCCTCATTTTCCCCAGTAGTTGGGACTACAGGTAGGTGTCCCACCTCTGCTACTAGATACCAATAATAACTGCCCTCCCGCATTTGGTGACAGTAGTGACAATAAAAAGTGTCTATAGATATTGTTACACGTTCCCTAAGGGGCAAAAATACCCTAGTTGAAAACCACTGTCATAGAAGAAGAGGAAGTGTGGGGAGGGAAAAGAAGGAAGTGATCCTGACATAGTTGTAAATGCACAGTTGGAACTTAGGAAAAAGGCCAGTACTAAAACTGCAACATGAAAGTCATTATGAAGTAAAAAAAAAAAAAAAAGAAAGTCACTATGAAGTGGTAGTTGTTTATTTTCCCAGAAGGAAAAAAGTGTATAGTAAGAAAGAAAAAGAAAAAAAAAAGAGAGACCTGGGGACACAGTGAGGGACGGACCACCTAGTAGCTGAAGAGGAGCCAGAGATCTAGTGAAACAGAAGGAACAGCCATGTTGATTTAATGACAATAAATTCTGGAAACTTTAAAAAGATTATATTCTGCATAAAAATAATTGAGAATTATTAAAGAGAGCAATAGAATTTGTCTTTGAGCTGTGTCAGTTTTACTATTTTAATTTGTCATATCTTATTGTACCCATTTATGCTTTTTAGTTAATATTTTATTTTATGATAAAAGACAATGAAATTTTAATAAAGAAAATAATTTTTATTTCAGGTTGCCGAGGTGCCCAAGTAGAAGAAATATGGAGTTTAGAGCCTGAGAATTTTGAAAAATTAAAGTAAGTAAAATTTTAGTTGTGTTAAACATACAGTACTATGTTTCGGCAAACTTTTAAAGGATTCTTAGATCTGTGTTTATTTTACATGAATTACCCAAGGCTGAGCACGTTATCTTAAGTCTTTTTTCAGTCCTGTGAGATAAGTACTATTCTAGTTTTATAAACAAGAACTTGAAGTTCACAGATAACTTGCAAGAGATTCAAACTTAAGTTTCTGTTGTTTTATATCCACAGAGTACTGACTGGTTGATTTTTCACAAAATTCATCATCAAAAAATGAATAATAGGTTAGTCTATAAAAGCATATTTAATAAATACCGTACATTGATAGTAATTCAGAAATTGTCATCTGGATGTGGTGGCGTACTGTAATCTCAGTACCCTGTACTCAGTACCCTGTCTCAAAATAAAAAATAAAAAAGGGCTAGGAATGTTGCTCTTTGGAAAGACACTCCCCAGTTTCACAAAAACAAAAATAAAGAAATTATCTACACATTATCCCATTGTTTCTAGGGAAAGGTACAATTGAAGTTCCAAATGTAGATGTCCAGGAGAATTTTCCCATTCTTCATTATTTTTGATCAGAATGACTTCTTAGAGCTAAGCATTGCCTGTGTATCTGCAAAATTCTTAGAATGGGGGACAAGGTATATATATGGTCTTTTAAAAGGGAAAATGGAGATTTAGGAAGAATATGACTACTCTTTTCAGTAGTAGTAAGGAGTTGGTTTGCCTCCTCTCACATTTTCTCCACAAAAAACAACCATTCTGATGAAATCACTTCTGGCTGAGATTAGGGAAGGTTAATTAAAGACACAGTTATATCATTTGATCTGTCTTTAAAAAGATAGGAAAAGGGCTAGAGTGGTAGTAGCTTGGTGGTAGAGTGCTTGCCTAATATGAGCAAGGGCCTGGGTTCATTCCTTAGCACTGCAAAATAAATTTATAAAAAAAGAAAGGAAACATTTTTGTTGAGGGGAAGGCAACTATAAAACACTGGAGGAAAATAATGATTTAACTTTTCAAGTTCATCAGTGGTTCTTAGGAATGTGAATGACTTTACTATGTATAAGATGCAGCCATTCATACTATAGTTTGAGGACTCTACGTGAATCTAATAATTATATGGAGGTGGCTTCCTTTATTTAATAATGTACACGCTATCGGCCATTTACCTCTAAACATCCTACAAGGACTGTATGTATTTTGAAGTTCAGTCTAGGGTTAGTAGCTTCTAGTTTGGCCATGCGCTTATTTTCTATTTTTAAGTGAAGTGATAGAAGATAGAAATGAATAGTACACAGATTTGAAAACTAAAACATTTATTATGATTCTATCTTAACGTATAATTTTTAGTTTTATTAGTGTCTGGCAACATTTTAGTGACTGGATGACATTAGCCATTTTAAAAATTCCTCATTTAATTATTTTACTTCATTTTCATTGTATTCATTAAATATATATTAGCAATGTGTTATCAAAGAATCATGATTTGGTGTCACTCATTATTATTTACCTTTTTTTGTAGGCCAGTTCATGGGTTAATTTTTCTTTTCAAGTGGCAACCAGGAGAAGAACCAGCAGGCTCTGTGGTTCAGGACTCCAGACTTGACACAATATTTTTTGCCAAGCAGGTATGTCTTAGGATGCTCTGAAAAATCTCAGGAGCCAAGAGACTTCATCTGTGTGCTTGTAGTATAGCAGGCCTTAAACTTTTTTGTCCTAAAGCCTCTTTATACACTTAAAGATCATTTCCCCCAAAAAGCTTTTATTTATTGTAGTGTCTATCAGTATTTGCCATATTAGAAATTGAAACAAAAGCATTTAAAAATATTTATCAGTAGATTTTAAAATAACAGTAGACTTGTTACATGTTAACATAAATAATTTTTTTTTTTACTGGGGATCGAACTCGGGACATTCCACTTTTGAGGCAGACGGCAGAACCACTGAGCTAAATCCCCAGTATAAATAATTTTTTTGTTGGTGGTTATTAAACTCAGGGTCTCATGGATGCTAGGCAAGTACTTTATTATTAAGCTTCATCCCCAGGCCAAAAGAACATATATTTTAATGAAAAATAACTATTTACCAAAGCAGAAAAAGTTGGTGAAGAGTACTGTGCTTTAAACATTTCCAAATCTCTTTAATGCCTGTCATAATAGCCCATAGCTCTTCACTGAGTCTTCAGTGTTATGTTTTTGTTTTGCTTTTTATTGAATAAATGAAGAAAATCTAGTCTCACACATACATTTAACCAGAAAAGGCTAATTATGATATTTTTAAAGAACTACATTAAAATTCCATTTTCTTAAATGTTATTTGCAATATAAAATTTGTCCTTTATTATGTTAAAAATCCTTTGGATTATCTTGCCCTTCAAATGGAGTTTTTTGATTCTGCGTGATTTTGTAATGTGCATTGGTCATTTGGAAGATTTACTGATTTATACACTTTTATGTGCTGACACATAACATATGATTTGATAGGGGACAGGGATTTAGCTCAGTGGTGCCACCGCCTGCCTCGCAAGCACAAGTTCCCAAGTTCAATCCCTGGTACCAAAAAAAAAGATATGAAAAAAAAAAGATATGATTTGATAATATTGTTAATATCACTATCCATATCAGGAAAGTCATTAAATATGAAATTTTTTAGTTCACAGTGTTTGATCCAAGTTTTATAAAATTCTAATTTTTACTTGAAAGTTCAAATTTTATCAATAACAAATATCAGATATTTTCCTCCAAGTCATTTTAAGAAAATATCTGCAAGATATCCTTGATGGAAGACCATACTTTTTTAATTATTATTGATTTTATTGGTACATTTTAGGTATACAATACAGTTACATTCATCATTGGAAATTTGGACCTTTGTATAATCTCTCTTGGTTCTTATTTTTTCCCCCTTCCCCTGGCCTCCCTTCAACCCCTACATCCCTCCCTGTTTACAAAGACTTTGTTTCCAGTTTTTCATTTTCTCATATTGATTCCATTCCCTTCTTTCCTTTCCCCTACCCCTCCCACTTCCCCTTTGCCCCTTTTCTTCCTATTTCACATTATCTATTTTGCCTTTTAGTCCTTATTTACACTTTCATTTTCTCACACCAGAGAAACTATTCATTATTTATTTTAGGACACATGTGTGTCCTATTTATTTCACTTAAGAGTATTGCCTCAATGTGTATCCGTTTAGCTATAAATGTCTCTGATTTCTCATTTTTTATGGCTGTGTAGTACTCCATTTTATAAAAAAAACCATATCTTCTTTATCCAGTCTCTAGTTGATGGGCATTTGGGCTGCTTCCAAGTTTTGGCTATTACAAATTGTGCTGCTATGAACATGGGTGCACATATATCATGCCCCAAAAGGCTTACCTACTCAGTGCTGGGTGCCTCTGCTCCTCTGTGCTGGGGGCCTTGGTATGGCAGCCCGAAAGGCCCAGCTACTCCGCGCTGGGGGCCTCTGCTCCTCTGCCCCAAAAACCACATTTGTCATTCATGTTCTTTCAAGTAAAAATGTTGTTCAAAAAAAAAAAGTGACAATTTAGCTGACAACTCAAACTGAGTGCCTTTCCTGGAGATAACTAGCATACTTTGGTATACAGCAGTAGTTCTTTATTTGTACTTCCTGTTTCATTTTAGAGAATATTAAAGACTTGTACTGTAGGAATAAAATTTAATAAAAATAACTTACTGTTTTATTAAAGACATTCTTCAGGAAAACTGGCTCTTTGTTCATTTTATTTTTTTTTAACTACATGTCAGTGAATCAATTGTGGCACTATTTGGATTGACACTAAAATACAGTACGTACTAGTACTTTTACACACCTTCGCATTTATACCATCAGTGCAAATGGGAAAATGAGGAAAAATGTAAAAGCTTTCTTAGAATTATGATGAAAATAATTGAGCTTACAGACACTTTGGAAAGGACCTTAGGTATTCATGGATTGCACTTTGAGAACTGTTCTTTCATTGTATACAATGAGCAAAAAAATAAAGTTTAACTCACATTATTAAATGCCTTCATATATCTGGCCCATTGTTTAGAAACACTGAAAAAGCGAACAATTAATTTGCTTAATTAGTTTGATTAATATTTAAAATCCAAGGTCAATACGATTGCATTTGTTTAAAAACTGCATTCATTTCTGCAATACCAAAAATGGCTCAGAATAGTTTTCTTAACCTTTAGAAAAGTGGAAAAATAAAACTATTTACTTGCAATGCTACCATTAGGTCAGGCCTTTTCTGTTTGACTTAGTCATTTATTTTTCTTTTTTCTCTTATCTTATTGTTTCCATTTTCCTATGACTTTTCTGAATTGAGTATTTTTAGAGAAATTAGAACTTTATCATTTTTACTTAAAAGAAAAATATAGTTTTATTTATGAGTTAAAGTGTACCATTTGTAACTGGGTATAGTGGCGCATGGCTGTAATCCCAGCATTTAGGAGGCTAAGGCAGGAGGATTATGAGTTTAAGGTCAGTCTGGGTTGCATCGCAAGTTCTTGCAAGGCCAGATTGGAACATCTGATGAGGATCCTGTCTTAGGAAAAACCAAACCAAAACTACAACAAAAATACCAAAAAAGAAAGTACTTACCTTTCGTTTTCTGGTAGGAGTATTTACATTACAGACACACATAGTTGTGAAAGTGAATACCCTAGCAATCCCATACCTGTCTCTGCTTTTAGTAGTTTGACTTAATTAATTTAATCAACAAGTAGAGTATGTGTTCATTATACAAAATGTAAGCAATTCAGAATGTATGATGTAGAAAATAAAAGTTTATAGTCCTTGCTCTAGAGATAACCACTGGTAAATTCTTATTTCTTTGGGTGCATGTGTCTGTGTATTTAGTTGTATTTCTTCCTCATTAGATGGTAAACCTGGGAGTCAGGAATTTTGTTTTTATATACTATCCTTGACACGTAATAGGTACCCAATAAATGCAGATTGAACTATTTGTCTTTAAGACTATTATAATTAAAGAACTCTGGAAGTCACTGGCATTAAGACACAAAGGATATCTGATTTGTAGAGGTCTAGATATTTTTAAGGTTTAAGAAAGTACTCTATAAGCTTGGTGTGGTCATGCACACCTGTAATCCCAGCATTTAGGAGGCTAAGGTAAGAGGATCAATGTGAGTTTGAGGCCAGCCTGGGCAAGATAGTGATTTCAAGACCATCCTAAACCACATAGCAAGACTGTGTCTCAAACAACTTCCCCCCAAAAAGTACTCTATAAAGAAAAAGAAGTGATACTAGAGTATGAATTTGTGATTTCTGGAGTCCTTTGATATTTTTCTATGTCTGTGTTATACTTCCATCTTTACTGCAATTTAATGTTTTATTTTTATTATCTTTTCCTGCTGCCATTATTGTCAAATTACTAATTCCCCAGTAATATCATTTTCGTGTTGTATGAGAGTAACCGTTTTTATTAATAACTGAGATCAGTAGTTCCCAAATAAAACCTCTCAGTTTTTTAAGTGTATGCCTTCTATGAGCCTATCCTTTGATGCTTACAGTATATATTATGTAATATGTAATTCTTGGTTTTAGGCTTTCAAGGCCTTATAATAATGATTTCCAATCCAGAGTGTCTGGTCTCTAAGGAGTATTTTCAGAAGTTTTAAAAAATTAAATTTATTTGTTATAAGATTGTATAGATTAAATGTATAATATTAACAATGTAAATGTAAATGTATAGTACCAGTATTTATATGTGGAGTTGTATCAACTTAGGTTGATGGCCATCTTATTGTAATCATATGCTGTACTTGGAGTATATATGTGTGTGTGTGTGTGTGTGTATGTGTGTGTGTGTCATTGACTAAAGAAACATCAAGATCTGGAGGTATAACTCAGTGCTACAGTACTTATCTAGCATGTGTGAGACCTGTGTTAATACTCAGCATCACAAAAACAATGTATACACACACACAAATTATATCCTTGTAATTGCAATTTGTATATAAGGATCCACAAAGACCCTTTGATAATGTTTTTCTATTACACATTATTGTCTTGTTACCATTTCACTGATAAAAATGCTAAGGTATTGTGATTTACTTGCTTAAGATCATGCTGCAGTGGTGCTAGGTTTGTCTGACTACATCTGTTTAGTCATTCAGAAAAGGATGATTGAGTACTTACAGTATGCCACATACTATGTCAGGTGCTTAGAAAATGAAAAATTTTCATGATTCCTGCCCTCAAGTGTACTTAGAGTTTAGTGGAGAATATTGATAGTACTAAATAATGCAAAATTACAGTGAGTGTAAGTGCTGCATGAAATGAAATGAGAACTATGTTTCAAAGTTTTGGAACAATCCATAAGATGATCCTAATTTTGATCACTGATGTTTGAGTTTTGGGTTCCTGAGACTGTGCTCATCCTAACAGCAGTGGAGTATTTGAGAAGTTCACAAGACTCATCTCCCCAGGATCTGTAGTTCACTAGAAAGATTCACAGACTTCATTGAAAGTTGTTATACTCAACAGTTATAGCTTACTATAGCACAAGGATATAGATTAAAATCAGTCAAGGGAAAAGATATGTGGGGCAGAATCCAGGAAAGTTCTGTGTGTGGAACTTTCAGTTGTCTCCTCCTAGTGGTGC